GCAGAAGTCAGTATTTTGTGGAAGAGCTGGTATTTTGTGGAAGAGCCACACTCAAGGGGCCAAAGAGCCGCATGTGGCTCATGAGCCACGGTTTGCCGAGCCGCAGTTTGCCGACCACTGGCCCCAGTCACATGGAACAAACCACCCCCTGATAATTGCCCTTCAGTGCCTTTCCTTCATCACTTTAAAAGCCTTCCATATTTTATTCTGCTGAAGTTGAGCTCAGTCTACCCTGGACTCTCCTCCCTATTGCAAGTTATTACTAAATAAAATCTGCTTTTATTGCCTTTAACCAGTGCCAAGTTTTGCTTATCTTTGACAGTATGATGTACTATAATGGGAAGTTAAATCACATTTGTCTTATGATTGAAAACGAGGATATATGTTATGATGTACATCTAGAAAGAACTTGACTATCGACCACATATGAATGGTAAGAATCTTGAACATTATTTGAGTTCTGTATTCTTAGAAGCTGGGATATATTAAAGGTTGAGAATTCCCCTACCCCCTTTCTTTTATGTTCCTAGAAATAAAAAATAGCTAAGTGCACAAGACCACCTCATTCTTGCATATTGCAAGACTTTACTCTATGGTTCCTCATTACTCCTATAGACCTGTTAATGACTCCTTGTCTACTGGACTCTAAAATACCCTGGCCCCTTTCTTTTTCTTTGAGCTGTTCTTCAAAGGGCACAACAGCATCAGTCCTAAGGCCTAGAGTTAGCTGGGATCAGAGGAGGAGAGGAGTACCCTTCCCAATCCCAAATAATATCTACTGGCTTGTTCCCACACATTCTTTGGTATGGAGAATTCCTATTTTCTCAAATTTTTGTAGAGCTGTCATAAAAACACAGTTCTAATATTCCACCTGTTCATTCCAACTAAAATGCTGACCTTAAGACCTGATATTATAGAAAGTCTGAAGCCCCCATTGATATATACTTAAAGGACGTTTTGGTACAAGATTCCAGCTTCCATCTCCAGGTGCTACACCAGTAGGAGGGGGAGTTGCTTCATAAGACAGGAAAGTTATCATAGAAAAAAGATATTTGGGTTCATGGAAAAAACTTTCAAGCAGGTCTTAACACAGGAATCTTGTTTCCTATTTTTTTCCCACCTACAACTTTGAATGGCTGCAAATCTATTGCAGCCTTAGTAGGAGACTCAAGGAAAAGACTGTAAAAAGTATTAGCATTTCAAAAAAGTCTATATTCATATATTCTGAGAGTCTTGCTTTGCCCTGAATTTAGGTACTGCCGATCAGAAATAGAAATAGCACAAGCAATAGAAACATTTGTTCAGCTGATGATGGTTGGGGCAGAAAGCTTTACATACTAGAGCAATTACAGATGACAATTATGAATAGAACTGCAGCACTGCTGGCAGCCTGGGCTGTAGAAACAGGTGAGGGGGTGAGAGGACTATGTCCTGGGGAAGGATTTCTAAGGCAAATAATGGTTTTGATTGGGTGAAGACAGTGACTTTCACCAGCCACTTCAAGAATAAAGAATTCACTGATGCACCTCATCTAGTAGTGCAATTTTGTGCTCAGATGGAATGATCCCCTTGCAGACAGTGCTGGAAGAGGAACTATTTATTTTCTGGCTGTGACAGATCTTGGGTGAATTAGCACTTTCCGTTATAAGGGATTACTTTTCAATTATTGTTTGAATGTTGGTGAAATCACATAAATGAGATATTTCTAAGAGTACCTGGCATCAAATACTTTAATTTATTAGTTTTGTCATGGTAGCTTTATCTCATTAAAATATTAGGGGTAGTGTGGTGGTGGTGGTGGTGGGGGGGAAATATAAGACCACATGACAAAAAAAGGAAGTCAAGCATTCTTTGTTATAATACCAACAGCCTCTCCCAAAACTTTAAATTATTTTTTCAACTATTTTGGATTGAGGAGTCCACCTGGGAAGGAAAAAGGCAAAGTGGGGATAAATATACTTAAACTGGGATTGTTGAACACATGCCTTCATCCCTGTTTTGGTCCAGTAGGGGGAAAAAATTGTGTTTCAACAGAAAATGACGCATTTTTCAGCACGCTTTTCTGTGATGTCTGCTTCTGATTGTGTGAGAGTTATTTTACTACTCTGTATATTGCAGATAACTAGTAACAATGCAAATTCCTGTCTGTAGACATGCAGTCTGTTTGTCTGGTAGAGGTTCAATTGATTTCCCTCCTCCACTTGCACATTCATTTCTATATTTTTAATTATAAATGTACCTATATTTTTGGATTCTTCTTTGAACTGACTGTAAGGGCTCACTATTTTCCTCGTTAAAAGGTTAAATAAAATCTGATTCATGATTTTACCTTCCTTTACAAATTATATGTAAAGCTCAGAACCTGCTTAACCAACAATGGGGGAAAAAGAAAAGGAAGAAAGAAAAGGCATGAGTCCTCAAGTTTAAAATAAAAGAAGCAGAGCTACAAATAGTTGCTTGGAAGCTGAAAAGTGTCTCGTTAGAATTGATTTAGGAAAGGAACACCTTAGAAACCTGATAACTATAAATACAGGGAAGCTATTCCTATATATGATCCCTGAGAAGCATCAGGCATTGAAAGAATTCAGGTACCTTTGGAAGGTGGAACCGAAAACATGGTGGCATAAAGCTTGTAAAAGAATTAGATGCCCAGACTCCTGGCCTCTAGGAAGGCTCTTCTGTTAGCTTCTAGAAAGCTGGCAGCCAAGCACAGAAGGCAGAAGACTGGGAGATTTTCTGTTGTGGAAACTGATCCACCAATTGACCCTCCATCCAATAGTTTCCAATGAGCTTAGGCTTTTAAATAGAAATGGTTAATCAAGAATGAGATATCTGAGAAATTGGAGACAGAGAGAGAGAGAGAGAGAGAGAGAAGAAAAGGAATTCAAATGGAGCAGAGGAACTAAATCGTGAGCAAACTGACAAATAAGTACAACCCAACACTATCCTAGGAAGACACTGGAGATCAAGGTCACACAGTATTCTTGAATGTAGCAACAGTCAATCCATCCTAATGGAAAAAGGATACACTCTTTAATAATCAGAGTTTGGAAAACTGATAGATTTGGGAAGAAAATGTAATAAATTGGAACACAAATTTCCAAATGAATTTAAATTCCAAATAAAGAGCATTAACAGATTACTATTCATGTCATGAAATACTTTGCAATCATATCTTAAAAGATTATTTTGTGCTCTAGCTGGTTTGGTTCAGTGGATAGAGCGTCAGCCTGGGGACTGAGCGGTCCCAGGTTTGATTCCAGTCAAGGGCACATGCCCAGGTTGTGGACTCAATCCCCAGTGGGGGGCATGTAGGAGGCAGGCGATCAATGATTCTCTCTCATCATTGATGTTTCTATCTATCACTCCCTCTCCCTTCCTCTCTTAAATCAATAATTATATATAT